AATTAAATTAAAATGCGGATTGATTAAGTTGTTATCTACCTCGATTACCATCCTATTAAAATAATTTTTTCTAACCATAAATCCTTTTCTGACATTGTTTGATCAAAATGATGATCATTTAGATTCTATTTTGTTGTTCCAAAAGGGAATTTGTATTAAACAAAACATCAAATGCGATGATATAAGAAGACCATTATCAAACTAGCAAAGTCATTGTTGTTAAGGGCCTACTTCTTTTTCTTTAGTTCCTGTTAAGTTCATAAGGTTTGTTTTTCTTTTAAACGGAATAAACAGTTTTGTGTCAAAATGAAAGTGCATGACCAGTTTACATTTATATTAGAAAAACAGATTTCATACTATTTGTCGTTTTTAATATGATAGAAGTTGTGAGGAAGAAGAGAAACAAATAGGTAAATGATCAGTGGGTTAACTCATTAAGCTTGGGTATTTTTTAGCCTAAACATTAAATTATTTTGTTCACACCAAGTAAAAAAGAAACTGGCATTATGGTTGTCTAATTTACATGTAAAATTTTGATGGTCAACGTATATAAATCAATGTTTTAAAAATCGGTTTTTTAGTTGAATCGGTATGGTAAACGGTTTCCGGTTCAACCGCCGGATCAACCGGTTTTTATACTTTTTATGTTTTAATATATTCCTATACATACATACATATGTAATTCATGAATTTGATGTTTACAAGTTCAAACATTAAAAACACGCATAGTAGAAGAATCAAAATACATTAAAATAACATATAACCATAATTTAGTATTTTACATCAATCTATATACGTGAAAAAGAAAATAAAGTATAATACCGAAAAAAAATATAGTTTTAGATGAATATAAACACATCAAAATAGTTTATAACATTTACCATATGTTTTTATTTGTAGAAAACTAAATAGATTTGAAAAAAAAAATATCACCAAAGTTTATTGTGTAAATGGTTTTTTTCATGTGTTTTTATTCGGTTTAACCAATTCAATTGAGCTTTTCGAAAAACTGGTAGGTTCAATCCGATTCAAAAATCGACATAAAACCGGTGATAGTTGAATCGTTTTCTCCACCGGTTCCCAATCTAACCAGTTCAACCGACCGATTCAAACCGTTTTTTTAAAACATTGATATAAATAAAGAAAAGAAAATGTAGGGAAGCAAAATGATGAAATACCAGATTCAACACAAAGAACAAGGTGGCTTGGGCAGTGATACGGATGAACATCACATATTTCTAGTCAAACAATATCACATTTTGTCCTCTCTTTAAAATTGGAATGTGAAATTAACAATAGTTTATAAATTTAATGTTTTTATTTTTTATTGGCCGTATGGAATCCATGGGATAGGTCATAGCCTCATAGGTGCAACAAGTGGGTCTGAGGCCTAGAAAAAAGCTTCAATAATAGAGCATATTCACAGATGGCGTGAAATGAGAAATTGGGCTAAAACTTTATAACTGATTTGGTTAGGCCCGAGTCTGTTCCTAAACAAATTTTGTACCGAATGTAGCATACACTGTTTCGATATTTTTCCAGTTTTTGAAGGTTTTCTTTATACTTTTAAAAAATCTGAATAGTCATATTTAGATGCAAACTTAAAAATTAGATCTATTGTATTTTATTTAGAGTAAATCATGTGGTTTGTTTAAAATTTTATCATCGGTCTTTAATTTTTATTTGCATTTGGATTATGTGCTATAATTTTATTGCAATTTTAGTCCATGTTATATGCTATAATTTTATTGCAATTTTAGTCCATGTTATATGCAATTATTTTTGTAGCTTTATTATTATTGTTATTATTCTTTAATGTTATTAATTAAAATTAATATGGAAATATCAATGGGTCCCACCTCTTCCCCAGTTCTATTTTAAATAGATCTCTCATTCTCACTCTCCCTCAATGCCCTTCTTCCTCATTAGGCTACCCGATATGGGGGTTATGTCACGCGTCTTGAGCTAAGCTGGCACGCCTCTCCACGTGTGAACACCGCCCCCAAGTCCGGTGGGTTGTGTGTGGGGTGAGGCGGAAGAAGGATGAAGACGTTAGCTATGATTGACCCATTCGATTTTGGAACGTTATACGATTGTTTGCCCCTTAATTTTGTTGGTTTTTCCTTTTAATCCATCAAAGTAGAAAAAAAAAGGAAAGTGATGTACCCAAGGTTCTAAAAAGCTCGTCATGACTCCAAGACTTGTATGTGTCGCCAAACTTTACCAAAACACCGTCTTAACTCATATATATATATATATATATATATATATATATATATATATATATATATATATATATAAATGAATAATATTATAAAATACATATAAAAATATGAATTATACACAAAAGTGTCACCTTAAATCACGCCTTACAAACGACGTGACTCGTTAAAGCTTGGAAAAGCCTGAGGCCTGACATTGCCGCTAAGTCACGTTTTAAAAAAATAAAAATATAAATGATGTGGAGTGGTAACCATTTCCAATGTCTAGTGGATTGGTGGTGAAACTAATGTAACGTAGAGTTGGCAACACTTTTTCGGTGGGTTGAATATGATCACTCCCCATAACCTTACTCTCCCAACAAAGCTATTGTTGGAGTCAGTGGCATGTGAAAGCTTCGAAAGCATACAATGCTTGGATCTCGAAAAAACGAGATAAAACCTTATTCCTCATTACTTTATTAAACCTAACAGCTTTAACCTTCCATTCGAAAGCATACATAATCTTCCTAATTTCTATTAATTTTTATAAAAAAACTTATCATTTAATTTTACAACGCATTAGAATTTACAAACGTCGGTGAAACATATAAAAAAAGTTGTTTTATTTCCATTTAACGGTTGAAGTCACCGAGTTCAATCCAAATCCATCAACAATTTTCCAAAATGTTAAAAAAGTATTTCCATATTCGCAACTAAACTAATATAACAAGACTAATCAACACAATTTAGTAGGAAGGTGTAGCGTTATAAATATAAGAGGAGAATATTTAACCGAAAATAACGGGCGGGTCGAAAGAGTTTCAAGATTAAGCCTAATGCATGAATGGAATGGATGAATAAGATGATGCATAGTTGATATATATAATAGGTTAAACCCAAACATAATGAAATTTCAAGTTGACATACAATAGATTTGAATTTTAATACTTGTTGAAGTATTAAATAGGAAAATGATTAATAAAAATTAGGACATATATCTTAAAAAATGTTCCATTAAACCATGTGAAATCAATAGATCGTAAAAAATAAATTACGAAGTTGTATGAAAAATAAAATGCTAATCGGCAATTCATTAAATTTGTTAGGTTATTATGTCATTTTAGGCACTAAATAGCGTGACCAAAGTGTTTGCCAACGATGTCAAAATGTCAACATCTAAACTCTAAAGCAATGCAAATATCAAAATAACGCCCAAACCATATCATTGATTAAGATTGTAGGATTTTTATTATAAGGGTTTTAAGAAGAAGATTGTTTACCTCTAAAGCACTCTAATGCTATGATGCAATACCAAAGTATCAACGTCACATTTCTTGATTGCAAAAAATCACCAATTTGGCAATTTGGCCTCTTGCATTCTCTTGATCGATCAAAGCAATAAAAAGTCATTTATTTATTTTAAATTTATTTGTTTGGCCTTTTGCATTGTCTCCAATAATTTTCTATTTAATAATTAAAAAATAAATTGAATATCTTCTAGATATTTACTCTTCCGTCATTGACCTTGAAGCAAAAATATAATTGTTATCACGCCATAACAATCTTTTATAAATTAACGACATATAAATAATTTGCAACGTATTTAAGATTTATCTACATCTCACCTCCATTATCCTTAATTATACACTTCACAACTTTAATACAATGGTATCAATATTAACGTCATTAATAATAATAGAAATATAGAATAGGTATTAAGTCGATAAATGGTCAAAAAGTCCAAGCTCATTTTGTAGGTGTTACACTAATTAATGTTAGTAACTATTCAAAACCGTCTAAAACTACCTCCTCAACGTCACTTGTGATACAATTTATATGTATAAATGTTAAATTTATATATGCTTTTGGATTCTCTTAGAAACCTTTTGAATGTTTGGAATCGTAATCCAATTTACTAAAGATTTATTGTATTCAACCTAAATATGAAGTTGCCAATTTTCAAATGGAAGCTTATTCTTACTTTTTTTTTTTTTTTTGGTGACAAACTGTTATATAACGAATCAACTCATTTCTCAAATAGGTAATCAGTTATCACACAAAAATTTAGTGACACACAAACATATATCATGATCATATATATGGATATACAAGCTCTTTGATTATCAACACTATGCTCTAACGTAACATGACCCGATCTAATTGACTTATGTTAAAATCTTTGATTCGAGTGGTTGCTTTAACGAAAAATTGTGAGTATTGAGTGGGATCACTACCAATATGAAACACCCACGCAACTTCTTGATCTGGTCCACACACACCAATCGCATAAATAATTTCACATCGACGGTCAGGATCACATCAAAAGTAGGCCCACCCATATGATCATAATCTAACGGTCCATCTTAATGCGCGTAGTTAACGAGAAGAAAGTAGAACAAACAGCATTCAGTCGGTCTTCTTCGTCTCCACTCCCTGCTAAAAAGCGCCTCCTTCCCTTCCCTTCCCTTCGTTTCCCCTCTTCTCCAGTAGTAACGTACCCATCGATATCTTTAATTTAATTTCTTGATTCATTAACACTCTCAACAAAATCCAAATTTATTTTACTTTCTTGGAAATTGTTTATCTGTGATTGATCAGTTTTTATTTTTTATTTTTTTCTTTTTTCATCAAATATGTCGACAACCCTAAATCCCTGCAAGCATCTTTCTGATTACAAGCTCAGGTATGGCCTGAAAGGTTTCAATATGATCCAAAAGTGGGTCAAAGCAAGCCCTTATAGAAAAACCCTGATGGAAAAATCGAAATCAGAGATACCCAGATGTAGTTTTTGTTGTGGGTATGAAGGTAGATTATATATCTGTTTGATCTGTTCATCAATGTCTTGTTCTTTGTCCCCAGAATCAAATCACGCCCTTTTGCATACGCAAAATCAGATTGGGCATGAGATTGCTGTCGACATCCAAAGATCTGAGCTTTATTGTATCGCTTGCGATGATCAGGTATACGATCCCGATTTCGATAGAGCCGTTATGTGTGAGCAGATTGTAGGATTAGGAAATGGGACTCTTGAAGGTATTAGATCTAATATTAAGAGGAAACGATTGAGTTCTGAGGTCGGATTGAATTCCGATTTCAAGAATCTGAAAAGGGTTACTGTTAGCGGCGGTGGTGAATGGGATCACGATAGAAGGATATCGAAATCTTGTTTTCCGGTAGGGTTAAGAGGCTTGAACAATTTGGGCAACACGTGTTTCATGAACTCTGTGTTGCAAGCATTGCTTCATGCTCCTCCTTTTAGAAATTACTTCCTTAGTGGTAGACATAACAAGGATTCTTGCCGGAAAGCCTCTAACGACCGGTTTTGTTTATCCTGTGACATCGAGGTCATCTTCTCCGCAGTGTTTTCCGGTGACCGGGCACCCTACAGTCCTGCTCAATTCCTATACAGGTCTTGATCTTTCCCATTTTATACAATTTTTCTATAATCTTTAATCTTAATCACATATCCTTTCTTTAATTTTTGGATACTTACACAATCGATCTTCTGGCTCTTGCAGTTGGTGGCGGCTTTCAGAAAATCTTGCTTGTTACGAGCAACAAGATGCTCATGAATTCTTCATGTCAGTGCTGGATCGGATCCATGAGAAAGAAGGGAAAACAAGAAACACAAGCAAAGGTAATTTTGATTCGATTGATTATATGGGTAAAGATTCTCATGATGGCAAAAACCATAGAAAAATGACTACTTTCTCTCTCGATTTTTGGGTTTAAGGAGGATCAACTTTCTGTCAAATTATTACAGATAATCCCGCCGGAGATTGCCATTGTGTAGTTCATAGAGCGTTTTCTGGGTTACTGAGATCCGACGTCACCTGCACAACCTGCGGTTTCACTTCCACTACCTACGATCCATGTGTAGACATATCTCTTGATTTAAACACAAATATCGATCATACTCTTCATATCGCTAGTAACAAAGCACAAAAGTCAACAGACACCGGAATTTCAACTTTGACTAGTTGCCTAGACCTTTTCACCCGGCCTGAAAAATTGGGCTCCGACCAAAAACTATTCTGCCAAAACTGTCAAGAAAGACACGAATCTGTTAAACAAATGTCAATCAGAAGACTCCCGTTAGTCTTATGTTTACATGTGAAACGATTCGAACACTCTCTTGCAAGAAAAGCGTCGCGAAAGATCGACCGACATTTACAGTTCCCGTTTTCTTTAGACATGACGCCGTATGTGTCGTCTTCGATTGTCAGGAAAAGATTTGGGAACCGGATTTTTGCGTTCGAGGGGGACGAATCGGACATTTCAACAAATTTTGAAGTTTTTGCTGTGATTACTCATTCGGGTATGCTTGAATCGGGTCATTATGTGACTTATCTTCGGTTGAATGAGCAATGGTACAAGTGTGATGATGCATGGATCACGGAAGTCGAGGACGAAATTGTCCGATCATCGCAAATTTACTTGGTGTTTTATGTTCAGAAACAGAACGAGCATAAATCCGGCGAGGATTCCGGTTGTCATCTCCGGTCGGCTTCCAGCGAGTCTTATAAGTCGGTTGCTGGTTGTTGCTGAAGATGGATGGATTGTGGAAGGTGTTACGTTATGCTTTGATCGGTTGTACCTTTGACTTTTGGTAATCTGTTTGAGAAGTATGGTGCAAAATAAGGTCCATTGAAAAACAGCCATCAATTTTATTGGGTTTGGCTTTCTAACCTTCATGTATGTACAGGGTAATTCTTTTGCTCGGAAAGTGAGAGGGTATTTTTGGTATTTTGCGTTTCTCTAACTTGGAATCTCCTTTCCTAATTGATAATTGAAGTTTTTACTTAAGTCCAAGAGCTTGTGGTCATTTTTTTGATGGTTTGGATTTTGACTTAACATATCAAAATGACTAGAATGGAAATCTTTTTAATGAATGATTCAAAATGGGTCGTCTAGTCAAGAGTGGCGTAACGGGTTTAGCTTGACTCTATATATGTTTTTCTTTCATTCATTTATTGCAAAAGATGACTTTGGTAAAAAGAAAATTGATAAAATATTAAATTCCAAATGACATGAAGATTGTTTTTGGTATTGTTGTAGAACATGAAGGATGCTCTCAGCTTATTTAAAACAATTTATGCATTTTTGTATAAATGTTTATTATCATTAGACATGCAATTTTCTTTTGAGAGATGAAAGTTGGAATAACGTAGTTTGAAAGTTTTAATAAAAATTTGAGGATGTAACGTCACATTGACATGACACATAATTGAAGAAAGGTGAATGGAGGTGTATAACACGTTATTTTATAAGATGTTTTTAGTGTTTAAAAATACTTATTACCTTATAAGTTGCTATTTAAAAATTGGAGTTTAGAAGAAAGTGTTTGATTTGCCTTATAATGCTGTACGGAAACAAACTGCAAAGCTGATTTAAGCTGTTTTCAAGAGGGTGATTGACACTGCTTTTGAACTTTTTTGATAAAAATGTTTGTTGATGATGTTAAAAAAAATTAAAATATTTGGATTAGTTTTTTAACCGAAAAAGTCAAGGAATTAATAAGTTGAAAAGTAATTGGTTTAAAATCTTTTTTTTTTAAACTTACTTTGGTTAAAAACTCAAAAACACTTTCAAAAGCCAAGTTTTATATATGTTTTTTAAAAAATGTTTTTGAGCTTGCCGAACATTTTTTTTTTTTTTTTGAGTTATTGGCATCTAAATTAATAAACTGTGTTTAAAAACAATACCAAACACCCCTTGAATATTAGGCAAGTTATCTTTATTATCCGAACATGCAAAATGGTAAATTGATGTGTGGGATGCAAAAAATAATACGATCGATATTAAAACAATGATAAAAAAAGGTAACTTTGTTTCAATAGCAAACAGATAAGTTATGAACACAAGTAATAAACAAATATGTTTATCGAAGGTAAAGCGCCTCAAAGGTGTTTATTGGTGATAACGAATCTTAAGGGGTGTTTGACTAAGCTAGCTTATTTTTTATAAGCTAATTTTTTTCCAACTTATTTTTTATCTTTTGAGCTTTATTTTGACTTACATTAAGAAAATAAGCCGAATTCATAAAAAATAAGTCAGAAAAAATGAGCTTAAAAAAATAAGTTCAGAAAATAAATCATAAATAAGTTTAATCAAACACCCCCTTAGTAAGCTAATAAGCTGCTTAAGTAATAAAAATACCAAACACCCCAACAAAGTAACATAATTGTTGAAATGTTTAGATTTATGTTATTAGTTTTGACTTCTGAATAAGTGATTTTAACTCTGGTCAAACATCTAGTTTTTAACCAATTAAAAAAAAGTTGGGTTTATAAGAAAAACTTTTAAAACTTACAATAGTGATATTTATATTAGAAAGAAAAATAACTCTCATGATCACAGATAACAAGTTTCATAAAAAAAAATATATCAATAAAAATAAACAAGCAAACAACAATACCCAAGTATCATAATAATGGAGCCCCATGATTGTGTAGGATGCGTAAGCAATTTCTAGCTGGGAGCAGGAGATTGCTTTCATCAATGACCTCTTGCATACAGAGAAAATGCAAGCCAGTAATTGAAAACAAATACATTTAAATAACAAGATATGAAAGGCAATTTTTCATATAAGCTCATGTTTTTTAAAACGCAATTCCTAAATAACCAACAAACAAAACATAAACATGCATTTGAAAGAATAAAGAGCAGAAACAGCATGACAGTAAATAACCAAAACAATTTCTACTGATGCATTCGACATTAGCAAAAAAATGGCCACATACTTCAAATATATCCGTCCAACCTTGCAATAAAAATATAATAAAAAAGAAAAGAAAATATAAATTCTTCTGCTTCACCTAGCATACACATAGGAGCCACATGAAGACAACTTGATAGTAGTAAAAAAAAATCATTAATTATACCTCTTCTAATAAATATGTTTTCCCATACCTGTCAAAATCGATAGAAGACCACGAAAAACATTACTACTTTTTCTTGTTCCTGAATTTCTCCTTAAGCAAAGTAAACTGCTTTTTGCAATCATTAACCGTCTTTCCCGGAACAGCAGCCGCAATCCGCTCCCACCTTTGACTTCCTTCTTTCGGAAACGTCTTCACAGCTTGAATCAATGCTGTCACTTGAACACTTGACCACACATCTTCCTCCCCATTTGCAACACCATTTTCAACAACAACTTCATCCGCCTTTTCACTACCATTTTTCAAAGACACCCCCTCACTTTCCTCCTTAGTTGACAAAGGAGAAGAAATCACAGGTCCCGGTTTCCTCTTTTCAAGAAAAGAATCAAATGCTTTTGTAGCATCGGGTTTTTGAAGAAGAACTGTTTTAGTTGCTTTCAGAATCTCATCTACACTTCGATTTGTCCCAATGTATTCAGATATCACCTCCCACCTTCTAGAAGTTCCTTTCGGATACTTTGCAATCCCTTTCCTCAACAGCTCAATCTCTTCCTTCCCCCAAGGTTTAGGAATATTATTTTTGGGAGCATTTCCATTCACCTTCACAGACCCATTCGGGACATTCTTTGGGATATAATCTTTATCAGAAACATCAGTGTTGCTAATCGCGTCTTTTAAAACTTCAGCTTGTGAACTCCCTTCTTTTGTCTCCAGATTGTCGCATAAATCTTTTAATTTCAAAATATCGAGCGACATGCAGAGATTTTCCACGTCATCGTTTGTAATATTAAGCAAACGCTGACTCACCACATTGTTGGAAAGGGTTCGAAGACGGGTTCTTTCTTTACGCAACAATTTCTTTTCTTTTTCTTTGATTTTCTTTTGTTGTGATGCAGCTTCAGCAGCTTCCTTTTCGGCTTCTTCTTTCTTACGTTTCTCTTCTTCTGCGATTCGAATCGCTTCCTCTTCTTGTAGCTTCTTTGCCATAAATTTGGCTTCTTTTTTCTTTTGTTTTTCGGCTTTCATCAATTCTTTTCTTTTTAAAACTCTTGGGTCTCGTTTATACGCGTTGTCAACAAGGGCGCGTATTCTTACATATTCTTCTTTTCTAGCCTTTTCTGAAAGCTTTGCATTCTGCCTTTCCATCCATCTTTTCTCATCGCGTGATTCTGCTTGATCAAGATCATGTTCATCCGCATGTGGGAATTCCCTCCAGCTTTTGAATCCATACCAAAAATCATAGAACAAATCAACGTCTTTAAGAGGGGTATTTTCGTCTCCCAAGAAAGGGATCGGCTGCACAACAGACCACCTTCCGTTCCTCAAAAAAGCAGGTCCAAACACCTTGAAGAAATCTTGAGGGGCACAATCGGAAGGAATTTCATCATCAAACTCATCTGTTGAGTCATATATTCTTCTCTTTACTGGATCGATTAACACTTCATATGCTTCTTGAATTGCTTTGAAACGATTCTCGATTTCATCTTTTTTTGCTTGTTTAGCAGATTCGGTTTCTTCAACAAGAAGAAGTGCAGCTTGTTTGTCAGGGTGATGCTTTAAAGCAGTTTCCCTGTAGCTTTTCCTGATTTGATCATCGGTTGCTAGATACCTTAAGTGACCTAAACCCAATAATGCATAATGATCTTGCTTGTTGGGTCCATCACCAGATTTCTTTTTGCCTTTGCTGCTGTATGAATCTGATGATTGCATGTAATCATGTTCTTTGTCTTTGGATGAATTCTGGTTATCATCATTATCATCTGTGTTTTCTTCCATGAAACAGCCACGGAGCTTAAGTGCAGCATCATGAAATGAATGGCCAGCAGGTTCAAAACGTGAAGCCTTGACTGGATAGCAATTTGAGGAAACAAAGATTGATTCTCCATTTAGAAGCTCATTTGAGTAGGTGATGTAGAGAATGCTTGTTTGGGCTGTCATGATTACAGCAAATCAAGCATCCACAGCTCCAAGCTACATTAGAATTACATAAGAAAAAAACGATGTGAGTCTAAAGATATAAGTTTAACAAATTACAATAGCATATTCATTGAATTAAGGATCTATCAAACAGGAAGGATTACATTTACACAAGAAATACAACAAACACAAAAACACGTAATTTTCCTGTTCCAAAGGGAAAAGAAAGCACAAAACTAAACCGGTACTAAACCAAAATATGAAAACACTTCCCATATTGAGATTTGATTAGTGACATTTGTCCCTGTTCACAAAACCCAAATAACCAAAAGTCTAGTCGTCGACTTCAGTTAACGCCCAAAGCAATCAAAATCTCAAGTAAGTTATTGATAAAAAGTACGTGCAATTTACAACAAAGAAACCGGTAGAAGATTTACTTTACTTATTTTCCAAGGGTTCTTTCAGCACCTTCTAAGACCTTAAAGTAAAACTTTCCAATTACACATCGTAACAACTAACACGCTCCATGGGTTATGTGCGAAGTTCATAAGCATTCGATACATTGTTGTTAGCGATATTGTTGTTTGTAAAGCACGCGTGAACAATTAGCACGTAGCAGATGAGTTGTAATAGGAACATTCAAACAATAACATGATTTTTGTTAAAATTTCTATCGGGAAAAAAGGTTTTCATTACCTGATAGACGACGAGATGATGGAGTGAAGGAGATGAAGCTGCGGCGCAGAAAATATCGAATTAGGGTATGAAGAGCAGATGAGATGAAGGAGAGGGGGCGACCGAATTGAAATCTTGAGAGGGAGAGGCGCAGAAAGATGTAAAAGAAGGGGTTTAGGGTTGTTAGGTTTTGGCCGCAACTCCGTGCCTTAAGTTAAAGCTTAGCCTTGGCTAAAAATGCGTCCTCAAGTTTGGAGGGAAAAGAAAAAGTGAATGAAAAAAAAAAAAGTAATCATTTCATATAACTTTTTATATTTTACTAAATTTTGTAAAAATCAAAATTTAATTTAATTTAATTTTTAACAGAAAAAAAAAATAGATTTGATAACTTTCTATTATTAGTCGGTGTTAAAGGCTTTACCAGCTTTCATGTGCTTACACCGACATTTTTTTTTATTGTTGGAAAAATGATTTTGCATATGAATTTTATTTATTATTAAGGTGGTGGATATGATCATCATGCAAGGGCCACACATAAATTTAAGGTTAACTACATTTTTTCCGATCAAACATAATATAAAAAATAAAAATGATTCATTACGTCTAATATAATTCCTTTTTTCTAATCAAACATAATATAACAACAATCTATTATAATTTGAATTTGTCCTCTTTGTGCAGAAGCAATCAACAAATAAAATAAATACATTGGAAATCGAGCGTTACACTTAGTTGTAAATTCTTTTTATTTTGGTACCTAGTCGAGTATGTTGGGCGTACTCTATGAGTATGTTTGGCGTACTGGCTAGATGGTTGGACGTGGAGGCATACACGTGCTAGGCGTATTTGGGAGTATGTTGGGCGTACGATCATCAGGATAAAACCCTAATTTTTAGGGTTTGTGTCCTATTTAATAAACTTATGTTGCTTTGGGAGCTTCTTATGATCAACCACCACTTCTCCAAACCTTAAGAACGAAACCTTAGTCCTCATTTGAGTGTTTGTGAGCCATTGTTGTGATTTTGTGGTGTTTTTGGATCCTTTGAAGGAGGTGAAGATTTGGTGGAATTGGAGCTTGAATATCCAAAATCTTCATTAACTTTTCAAGCTATTTGAGGTATATAGCCCTAACTTGATGGTTCCAGATGATAGATCTAGTTTAAGGCTTTATTTGTGTATTTTTCCATCCTTTAAGCCATGCTTGGGAGTATAGGCTACCCCATAAGCTTGGGATGATAGATCTTGGCTTTTCTGAGGTCCCCTATACATTAAAATCATAGCTTGATGGGTTTAGCTCAACCATGCAAGGTTGTTGTTCTTATTAATGGAGTTTAAATGATGGATTTGGACTTTGGGTTGTTTTTAGCCATGCAAAGGCTTAAAGTCTTCGACTTTGTGGTTTAAGGCCTTAATATGATGTTAATTTGAGTATTGGATGTTATTAAGTGGTTAAGACTTTTAGGCAATAACTTGGATTTAGGCCAGTACGTTGGGCGTACTTGTTAGATGCATTTCATGTACCAATTTTGTAGCTTTATTTCATAGAAGTACATTGCATTTAGGCTTAAACTCATGCATTTTGCATGTTTTTAGGGATTTTTCATTAGGCAATTTCATTCAAATACTTTTGTGATATTTCAGGGACTTTTGGAGGTAGGATATTATTGGAGGAGGTAAATAAAAGTTGCGGACAAAATTTCAGGACTTGCGGAGCACCGATGAGCAAGATATCAAAGAAATGAAGATTTTGGTTTTACAGAGATTTACACGACCGTGTAAATGCAAGCCTTGCGTTTACGCGGGCCGTGTAAACGTAGATTTCTGCGTAGTATATTTTTACGTTTACGCAGGTCGTGTAAATGACAATGTTAATTTACGCGGGCCGTGTAAACGTAAACGTGGGTTTTAAAACAGTTTTTCACCATCTTAAAAGGGGGAATCGACTTTTTACTTAAGAGGGGTCGACTTTTGGAGTGGGGAAGGAGAATTTCTTGAGGATTTTGAAGTTGATTAACACTTGGGAACATTTGATTTCATTTTGTAAGAACTTTAATTTCATTTTCTAGATTTGTGATCTTGTTCTAGTCATGAGTGGCTAGAACCCTAGATTCTCCAACTTTATGTCTTGACTTCTAGTTGTGATTTCAATAATATAACTTGATGTTTTCTTTCAATTTTCTATCTAGTGAATTTGATTTTGTTTCAATCGAATGTTTGATTCTAATTGTGATTCTTATTGGCCATTTGAATTAGGGTTAGATCATTCAAGTTATCTAATTGCAAAATCCGTAATTGTTTTGTAAATTGGAAGTCGTAACAAGCACTAAACTGATTTCTATTGAATGAATTTAGTGTAAATCTTATTCACACATTCTTATGCTCCCGAGCTTATGAGGAGTATTGAGTGTTGTTAGGAACATTCACATAAAGTTTAATGCAATCTTTCAACCTAATTCTAAGAGCTTGTTTAGATTAGATTGGTAAGGTTATGATTAATCAAAGAGCTTATTTTGGTTAATCAATGTGGTGAATGGGAAGTGCTAGATCTTGTTAGCATTTTCATGTACCAATTTAGATAGAATTGAAAAAATATCATTTCATCATTGGAATCACATTGCTAATTTGTCTTGCATGGAGTTGGAATCCTTACAAATCTTGAATCTAATTCATTAAATCAATCTTTTACTTATTAATTTATTCTATAGTTTAAATCATTGCTTATAAATTCCCGCCATTCTGTGACCATTTTTGTACCTTACGCAAAAAGGTATAAACACTTGTCCCGTGTCTCTGTGGATCGACCATACTTACCTTGTACTACATTATTAGTGCATAATAGTAGTGTTTAATGAGTCATTTTGTACCCCTTTATTTGTTGGGTTTGACACACTTAACAAATTGGCACCATTGTTGGGGACACGGTGTTACTAATTGTTTATGTCAAGCATTTTGTGAGCAGGTGCTTTCAAAAAAAAGTCAGGTAGAAGATAAGTTTTCAATTGAAGGAAGTGGCGAGAAGGTTAATGTGTTGTAAAGGCCCACCTACTTAGAACAAAGCACATTCAGGGGCCAAGTCAAGCCAACGACTTAAAACAATGGCAGCTAACCGGGAGGCAACCCGGGGTTATTTGTTTCCTTTCTTTTAAAACTTTTTAGTCTTTGGTAAATTTCAATTTTTTTAATGTCCTAAATGGTTTTAAACTTATTTTTTATGCCTGGAAAATGAATCTCCGGCTCCAAAAATACTTCACAGATAGCTTGGGGAGGATGAAGAGGAGGTTCTCACCATAATTGCAAGGCTCCAAGAATTATTTGGTAAATTCTTTCCATATCTTTAGTCATTCATATTTTGCTTAAAAATTCAATTGGTATGCATCTGTGACTGTTTTGGACCCATTCCCAACCCAACTACCATCCTCCACCATTCGACTCTCAATAGTCAAGGACTTGCGGCTCAACGCATTCGCAACCACATTCGCTTTACCAGGGTGGTAAAGGATCTTACAATCGTAGTCCTTGACTACATCTAACCACCTGCGTTGTCTCATATTCAGGTTCGGCTGATCCATGATGTGTCTCAAACTCTTGTGATCCATGTATATGGTACATCGGAACCCATATAGGTAATGTCTCCAAATCTTGAGAGCGAAAACCATCGCTCCCAGTTCCAGATCATGTGTAGGATATCTCGTCTCATGCGGCTTCAACTGTCGCGATGCATAAGCTATAACCCGTCCCCTCTGCATGAGGACTGCCCTTAAACCTGTGATGGAGGCATTGCAAAACACCATGAAATCCTCAACTCCCTCCGGGGGTGTAAAAACTGGAGCCTCACACAACCGCTGACGAAGGGTCTCGAATGCCTTGTGCTGCTTGGGGCCCCACTAGAAATCCACCCCATTCCTCGTTAGACGAGTGAGGGGTACTGTAATCTTGGTGAAGTCTCGAATAAATCTCCGGTAATACCCCGCCAATCCTAGAAAACTCTTGATGTCTGAAGGAGACCTCGACACCTCCCACTGCATAACTGCCTCGATCTTGGTCGAATCGACCAAAATCCCATCCTGGTTAACGAGATGCTCAAGGAACTGGACCTCTCGTAACCAAAAATCGCACTTCAAGAACTTGGCATACAGTCGTTCCCGTCTCAAAACCTCCAATAACTCCCGAGGTGCTCCTCGTGCTTCTCTCGGGTCTTGGAATACACCAAGATATCATATATGAACACGATGACCAAGCGATCAAGCATCGGTCTGCAGACCCAATTCATCAGGTCCATGAAGACTGTTGACGCGTTGGTGAGCCCAAACGGCATCACCACGAACTTGTAGTGCCCATAACGCGTC